GGGAGAGAGAACACACAAATGCTTTACACAGGGTCTTGTAGTTTAGACTGTCTTCAAACTTGCTATCTTCCTTCCTCAGCCTCCCCACTGCTGATATTCTAGACTTGTGTCACCACATCAGGCTGGATTTAACTGTGTTTTTTAGAGCTGTGCTGTAAAAGCAATTTTCTGAAGGCAGGATGGTTATCTTCAGGTTCAAATAAAGGGTTGGCCACTGATTAGCTAGGTGATCCTGGGTGAACTTACAAACCATCTATGCAAGTTCTTTTTACCGATAAAACTGAAGAAATCATACCTTCACAGAGTTGTTCTGAGGACTAAATGAAAATATGTGCAAAGTAGTTGGAACAATCTCTAGGACACAGTAAATATAACAGCTGCTACGAGAGGCTGTTTACCTGCTCAGTGGATCTGGCTGTCCCCAGCTCCTCCATTGTCACACACCTCACCGCACGACGTCTCTTCGTACATTCTGTGCTGCTGATACCTGTTTCTGATAGGAAAGGATTGCCCTCAGAGCAGGCCAGCTCCGGAAAGAAGAAACTTCTGTAATGAAATTCCAAGGAAGCTCTAGAGGCTTTTTGGTTTTTATCTTCACCAGCAGTGAGAAGTGAAGGCCACACAAAATAATTAAGAGTGCTTTCTATTGTCCCTCTGGCTCTTCATGCCATTTAGAATGTTTACTATGAGCTCTTTCACTATGTAGGGTGATAATACCTCCCCACCACTGCAAAAGACTCCTTTCCCATGCCTGGGCTATTTCCTGTGCTCCCTGTGCTCTGTGGTGTGTAAGAGGCTTTGAGACATGGAAAACACCCCACACGGCTGGGCAGCCAGGCTCTCAGGTCCACTCTGCTGCAGAAGAGTCACACAGCTCAGAAATCATCCCAGACCTTTCTGTAACTCCTGCCCAAGAACAAGCTACACATTTGAATTTTAATATTTATTTTGATTTTTTGAGGCAGGGTCTCGCTAGGTATTTCAAACTGTCCTTGAACTTACTAAGTAGCCCAGGCTGGCCTCAAACTCAAGGCAATCATCTTGCTTCAGCCTGAGGCAATCCTCAGCTGGGATTACATACATGCACCACTATGCTTGGCTCTTCGATTTTTTAAAATCGTTTTAAAAATAACTTAAATTGATAGGGCAATGCATCATAAAGGATAAGGAAATCAAACAGTATCAAAAGGATGCACCACGAGAAGGAAATCTCCCTCTGGTTTCAGTTTCCCTCCCCTAAGGAGAGCACCATGATCTGTTCCCAGAATATCCTCCTAGACACAGTCTATGGGCACAGGAGCATACAGCGTATTTATTCGTACCTCCGTGACCCTCATGCATTTTTTTTTTTCCAGGGCTGAAGATCAAACCCAGGCTTGGGTGTGCCAGGCAATTATTCTACAACTGCAGTACGCTACTGGCCTCCTTCATGCATATTTTAGCACAAATGATACCATACAGGGAATGCTGCAGGTCAATTTTTTAAAAATTTAACTACTGTGACAATCTTTTTAATGGCTACAATAAAAGATACTATGGGTATAAAGTAGTAAAAAAATTGTTCATTTTATAGGTGCACAAAAGTGTATTCAACCAGTTTCTGACTGATAAGACACTTTAAATGGTTAGAATATTTCCCTTTAATAACCAGGGGCACAATAAATAGCCTTTCAGAAGAAAGTTAGATCTCTGTTAGGGATGAGCCATCCCATCTCCCCACCCAGTAGGGCGTAGCCTCTTTTTTTTCCTACAACTTGTATTGACTGTTAGAATGCCTTCAGTATTTTGTGTTCCCCTTTGTTTCCTTCAATAAATTCAAATTTTTGTCAGAGCTATTTTTCCTCCACAAGAACTGGCACTTAAAACACTTAAAAGGCAAAGTACTGCAAAACGTTATCTCCACAAATAATGATCTGAACAATTCCTATGGTCTCTGGCAGGTTGGGATAGGGACGAACTGAGGAGAGACTCAGAATTAAGAATACTTATCTTCACAGTCAGGAAAGAAAAAAAAGCGCTGCTCTTAGCAGAAGTCCGAGTCCTAAATAACCACCGCTAATTAAGAGAATTTACAGTCGGTACAAGCGTCCTGAAAATACTCCGTACAGCGGATACCTCCCTCCAGTAACTACGTCAGAAAGGAAGCAGATCCGCGTCCGCCATAGAAGCAGCCAATCAGCAGCAGCTCCCTTTACACATCAGCCAATCAGCAAGGGCCCCACTAGGGTGACTGCGTTTCCAAAAGGGAGGAAAAGGCTGAGTTGCGCTAACTCAGCTCAAAGTTCTTAGATGGCTCAACACTTCCCTTCTGAAAGCCCACTGGCCTCTGAGCGCTGTCCCAACAGTTTACATAAAATGAATTCTGGGGTGTTGGGGAGACCTCGCCATACTGGTACAGTTCTCTCTTGCAGGGAAACAAAGTGGGCTTTTGTTTTTCATCCTATGCCAACTTCAGTTTAATCTAATTCTGAGCAGCTGGACCAGCCTTTACGGTTTGTTACGACAGTTTACATTTGTGACAGATGAAGGGGCTGTGAGCTGAGCTAAATTAGGTATCTCCCATTCTGGATGTCTTTCTATTATTTCTGTTCTTTGCTATTTGTTGTATGTCAGAACCCCCAAATATCAAAAAGCATAAACTTTCCGAACAATGGACACTTATTACACGAGGAAAGGTCCTTTCGAAGTTTTCTGTGTAGTAGGCAAGTGTTCATTTAACATGAGGGCTAGAGATCTAGCTCAGTGGCACTGCGCCTGCCTGGCAAGTGCAAGATCCTGAGTTCGAGTTCTTGTAAGGGGGCATTTAATATAAGAGAGATTATGGAAAGCCAAATGTAAGGTAGCATATATTGACAGTTAAGTATAAAAGAAACGTACAGTTTCCTAAACTATTAATTCCCTTAGTACTAGTTGAGAAAAGCATCTAACTGATAGACATAATTTTTTTATTAAGAGAAATTCAGACTAAGAAGATAATTGCAGGGACTGGGGATTTGGCTCAGTGGTTCCACCACCTCCACCGCAAGCACAAGGTCCAGAGTTCAATCCCTGGTACCAAAAAAAAAGATAATTGCAGCAGACGTTGTCATGGCTTTCCACACTATGTATCAGTATCACTCAACTCAAAAAACAGAACATACTGCTAACCAAAACATTTTCTGGTTTTAAAACTGCAAGCACATTTTCAAATGCTAGGATAAAATCTACTGCCAAAGTAAAAATGTCTCACTTTGTATGTCATAGTCACAAGTAACCACAATACAGATAAAAACCTTTCTGCAATTTGTTTAATCACGAGAAAGGCTTGCTTCTTAAGGCGAGTGCAAGCAGAATACTTTCCAGATGAGACTGCAGAAACAATAGCAAAGTTTTGCAGAAAGTTTTATTGAGTTAGACGTTAATGAGAAAAATTTTACTGCTTTTGTTGGTGATAATACAAATAAAACTTTTAGTGGATGTTTGCATAAAGGTACCATGTTTATTCAAAGTTGAAGCAAAGCATGAATAATTTTATGGAAGGCATCAGCGGTCTTGCCATATTTTGCATAACGCTCACAAATAGCTTTGGATGTCTTCCATTGAGCTTGACGTAATTGTTGTGAAACTGTTTGCCTACTTTGGCATTTATAGCACTCTAACTGAGCAGTTATAGGATTTTTATGATTCTGTTAACATTTGGAATTTATCATCTCTCATATTCAAAACTCCACTGGCAATCTTTAACAGATGCAGTTGAGAGAATTCCCTATTTATTTGAAGCACTATTAATTATGAAGAAAAGCCCCTCAAATTCTTGACTTTTAAAACAATCCACTGAATGAAGGCCATTTATTTCTGGTTTGTAGTTTTCTTCTTTTTCTCTTTTTTGTTCGTTTGAGACAAGATCTGGCTATGTAATTCAGGCTGGCCTGGAACTCTTTCAGCTTGCAGGGCCGCTCCAGCCTAGGCCTCCGGAATACTGTGATTATAGGCATTCGCCACCATGCTGACTCTGCCCCGCCTCCTCCTCTTTTTGGTTTCCTTTTGCTTCCCCCGCCCCGCTTTTTCGTTGTTGTTGTTGGTTATACAGGTTAATAGGTTTTATTTTGCAGATTTGTACATGCATGTAACATACTTCGATCATTTTCACACACACCAGTATCCCTCCCTGCCCTTCCCTGCCCGTTTCACATTGGAGGGGGTTCAAGGTGTATATGTTGCTCATATCCATCCCTTCTATTACCCACCTGACATCCCCCTAATCTCTTCTTTCCTAATAAAAGTTTCCCTTCTACTTTCCTGTGATTTTTTTTTTTTTTTAGATTCCACATATTAGGGAGAATTATTCATTTCCAACATCAGTTTAGTAGCACATTTATGCAAATTGAAAGAGCAAAGTGTTATAGTATTCCCTTGCTAAAAGACTAAAAGTCGGTGACAAAGTTCCTCTTGTCAATGGGCAACAATTTTAAAAAGTCCTTGATCAAGAGATGCAATGCAACCCCGAAGAACAGAACAGCAAGCTACACTGTGAAGGGTGGTATTAGGTCCTTTTACCAGTCAAATCTGAAGAGCAGCTTTCAGAGATGTTACTTTCACACCTGCACATGTCCACTACGCTGGCTCCTGAAACTCACTCTGAGCATGGTTTCTCATTAATGAATGTTCAACAGTCAAAAGAACAAAATAAAAGTTGGACGTGACCACTGAAGAAGTCATGTGAAAATATAAATGAAACGGGGCCTGTAACTGCAAGGAATTTTATAAGCAGCTCCTACAAAATAACGACAGAGCATTAAAGAGAACCAAATCACCAAGGAAATAGAATGAAAGAAAGAGATATGTGATTTAGATTTTTACAGTTTTATCTCAGATAAACAATAAACATATTCCTGGTATAAGTATGTCTGGCAGAGTATTTTTCTTTTATCTCCGTGTATGTGTGCATGTCATTTAAAAATCATTCAAATTTCACTGGGTGTCTTGTATTTTTATTAAATCTGGAAATGATTCCCCCAGTCCCTGTGCTTCAGTCTCCCGTCACACCTACCCGCCATGCCTCCCTCCTCCTCTTCAAGAGCAAATCCTAATTTTTTCAAGCCTATCTCAAAACCCTAGAAATAAGAATAGTGATCCTTCAGTGGGGGGTTAACTCGGCTGGGCACTGTGCCAAGCACCTTGGGTGCAGCACAGAAGATGTCCATTACTCCTCATTTAGGCCATTACTTTGATGCTACAGTAAAAACTACAAGGGAGACGTGATTTTCCTACTTATGGATGAATCAAATTGGGGTACAAAGTAATCAGATAACTTACTAGAAGTTATACCACCTACATGGCAGAGCTAACATTCAAAACCAGGCAGTGTGGCTCTGGCGTCGTTTCCGAACACACCATCCACATTTGTCCTGCTCTGCTCCAAGTGGTTTCTCCTCATGCCTCCAACCCACTTTCCCATTTAACATTTGAACCACACAGTCAAGGAGTTATTATATTGTCCCTTGTGGTAGAACCTAAAAGAACTAGATCTGATTTTGTGTCCCCATTTAAAAGGAATTCTGAG